GGCACATCTGATGGTTGGCAAGGGACAAGAAAAATAGATGGCTGGCTGGAATGGAAGAACAACAAAACCATTTTGAACCCATGGTCTAGAGGATGGGCATTATGGTTAAATACTCATTAGCTCAAGGTTAATTCAGGAGAGGGGAGTTTGCTCCCGAAGGCGAAGTAAGATTTGGCTGAATTGCCACTCATGAAACTTGAACCGTCCGGCTTTCAGCATCATCAGCTCTGAGCCCGTTGGAATTTGCAGAACATCAAAGTGGGCTCTGAGGCAGCTGCTGCTAGCTCAGTGTCTAAGAAATTCCTTATGACACTGCCAAGCTCGTGGAGGGGGAGGGTTACCTGCCTTGACAGATTTCAGTGTTGCTGGAATGGTTTCATTTTGAGGAAAGATTCCTGCTACCTGCAAATTGGTAGACAGGCATCCAGATTCTAGAGATCTTCATCTTTCCCAGTTTATTAAATCCAGAGTAACTCACAGTAGAACCATCTTGCGGATCCCATCTGCGCCTAAGTTGAGCAGGGTGAATTTCAGCTGCACTTCAGGTGAAACTCTGATCTGTGACCAGACAGCCAGCCATTTCCCAAGCTCAAGGGTGGCACTGTCTATGGTGTTTAGATGATTTTGTTTAAAAAGCTGGGAATGCAAAGGCAAGTGCTGAGCTTGCTGGTAAGAAATGCAGGGTTCCCAGTACAGCACAAGCAAGGGAGAGGAGAGAGTGTTTGGCGTGCCTACAGGAACAATCTGTAGTTGCACTTGCTCACTTTGGCTGTAAATCGCGTGTGTTTTTAATTGTGAAGGAAAATAAAATTGTAGAACACATATGAATACCTGGAAATAGATTTTTTTATATTAATGCCTAATAGGCAAATTCTCATGAAGGAGTTTGGAATGTTCTGTATCTTTCTGGGAATGAAACTCCTGGTACCAACTCCCTATGCCCCTCATAACAGCTAAGTCCATTGTAACTTTCAGTAATTGGTTTTTTATTAAAATAAGAGACTGCAGTATAAATTTTAGCGACTAGGCTAAATAGGCATTAACAGGCCCTGGGATCCAACCACAATTTGTAACATCGTTCCTTTGGGAAAATAGATTCTAAGTGCCCAATAACTAACTTACAAATAGACTTTTGAATCATAGTCCATTTGAGAATAAGGAACTGTTTGTGATAGTAATACCTTCGATTGGCTTGCTTGAGAACTGCACAGAAGGGACCTATATTCTGCCACACATGTGCAGTGAACCCAGCTAGTCTGGGTTTGATCAGAGATTATTGCGAGTGGGCACTGGAAGCTGAGGAATTAAAACAAAAGTAGAGGCTGGAGACAAGTCAAGGGTGGAGTTAGGAGGATGCATCTGGAGAGGTTTTAGTGGTAAGGAAGGTGTTCAGTCTCACAGGCAAAGGTGTGATTCTGCACAGATGAAGTGAGAGAACAGGACGGTTCAGGTAGGAACGGAGGTGGGAAGTGGAGAACATTGCAAGCAAAAGGAGTAAGATGGAAAGAAAAGAAGGATCAACCAGAAAATAGACTCTTAACTCTGGAGAACAAACTGAGGGCTGCTGGAGGGGAGGTGGGGGGGGGGAAATGGGTGATGGGGATTAAGGAGGGCATGTGATGAGCACCGGCTGTTGTATGGAAATGATGAATCACCCGGTTCTACGCCTGAAGTTAATATTACACTGTATGTTAACCAACTGGAATTTAACTAAAAACTTGAAAAAAAGAAAAAAGGAAAGGAAAATGTAATGCAAAATGTACCAGGAAGGCAGAATGGCCCACATAGTAACAGTAATGTTTGGCACTCTCTCTACACCCGGAGAGCAAGGCTGCCATGTTTCTAACAGTCTGCAGTTCGGCACAGCCTCGGGGGCATCATTCACTCCCATGGGCATCTCCTGCTCCAGGACGCCGGGGGCTGCCCTCCCACCCCGTCTGTGTACTAGCAGCCTTCTCTTCCATGTTCGGTACTATGCACGTATCTGTTGTGCAGTTACTACATTTTATTAGACAAGAAGCATGAGAGCAGTTGTTGCGTGCTCAGTCTGTGTGCCCTCACGTTGTCTTGGTCACAAGCCATGTCTTTTCCTCTCTTATCCATTATGCCAAGAGTAGTAGTGCTGCATCACCAGTGGGCTCAGGGAGTTGTCTTTGTCTTTGCTCAGTCCACTGTACCAAAAATAGCATAGCCTGGGTGGCTTCCACAACACAAATCCATTCCTCGTGGTTCTGAAGGCTCTGAAGTCTAAGATCAAGGTGCCCGCAGATCCATTGTCTGACAGTGGCCCCCTTCCTGGTTTATGGACTGGTTGCCTTCATGATGTGTCCTCCTGTGGCCAAAGGGGCAGAGTGGGGTGGGGCGGGGAGAGAGAAAGGGAGAGAAGGAAGAAACTCTCTTGTAGCTTCTTGTTAAGGGCACTAATCTCATTGTGAGTGCTTGCCCCCTGTGACCTAATGACCTCCCAAAGGCCCCCACCTTCAAATACCATCACACTGGGGATTAGGGTTTCAATGTCTGAATTTTCAGGGGATACCAACATTCTGTCCATAGCACTTTGCGTGGTTCAACCTGAAAACATTTCAACTTAGTATCATCCGTGTTCCCCAGGCCACTGCAGGCTGTGGCATAGGAGGCCCTCAGGAAGAGGGGCCACGTGGGCGACTCTGTGTCCCTGCCTGCTGCTGTTGAAACTCCAGCTCCCTTTCAGGTCCTTCCCTACACAGTTGATGGATTGACTGATTGTGGGGGGAAGGGGAAGATTTACATGTCTCAGTAACCACCTTTCTGCCGTTCACAGTCCCAGTGCTGGGCACCCTCCCTGCTCATGGCCCAGAGCCTCACACCCCGACAGGTGGTCAGCTGCCGACACTCGGGCTGAGGAAGAAGGGTCCAGTCTGTCTTCCTGAGTGGGCCAGAAATACTCCCACGTGGAGAAATTACTCTTTATAATACTACTACCGCTGCATATCTTCATTTGTACGTGCCCCCTTACAAAAACGCCACAGGCAGGGGTCTCCTTATCTCAGGGGTTTGTATTGTTCAACCTTTTCCTCCATAAATCCATGGGGAGGGGGTGGCAATGGGAGTAAAGGGCACTGGGCTAGACTGTGCCTCCACGACACTATTGGCATGTTGGCCACGGACCAGATCTGCAGAGCTTGCCTCATCCCTTTGAGTAAAATATTTCCCAGGAGGTTTTTCTGTCCACCACGCATCGACCCCTGGCAAGCACACTCCTCAGAATTGCCCAGACTTGTCTGAGCTCCCCGGTGAGCACACCCAGGCCGCCACACCGGGATTTCCCTGAGTGGGTGGGAGTTTTTCTACTCAGATTCTAAAGGGCAGGCTGTTTGCACAGATAAGGTAAACATAGATGTTTTGTTTGAGATTCAGAATTATGCAACTAATGAAGAGTGAAAAAGTATAAAGTTTCCTTTATTTTTACTAAAAGTCAACTTTTATTCTTAGGACACTCTTCTATCAATTATGCTTCTGTTATTACCTTGACAAAGAAGGCATTGTCAGTGATGGCATTTATTCCCCGCCTCAAGTAGTACCACTGTGTATTTTCCTAGATGTAGGAAATTCGTAGTGCATAAATAGTAGCCAGAGGAAGAATGGGCTTCATTGAGTGCTTATTATGTGCCAAGCCCAGTGTTAAGCAGGTGGCACCAATTAGCTCATTTGTTTGTAACAAAAGTGCTATGAGGTTACCTATTAGCTCTGTTTTACACTAAAGAATTGCTGTTTAAAGAGGCCAAGTAACTTGCCCAAGGTCACAGAGGTAATAAGTAGAAAGTTGAGACCAGACCCTGAGCCATCTGAGCACAGAACGGGACTCTAGACCACAGTTATGCCTCAAACACATCTTTCTGATAAGTGTTGTCTCAAGTCTCTTGTCAAGAATGAAAAGGGAGCGGTGAGACAATAGAACTTGTGCCGCCCTTTGTGATGGTAGCTGATCCTCAGTTTAACTAGAGGTAGAAAGATTCCTGTCCATTCGACATATTTCTTTAAGGTGGTAATTTATGTTATCAGGTGGATAAATTATATATAAATGTAGTTTAATAGCCAAAGGACAGTTGTCCAGACAGATAATTTCAGCAGACTTTTGTGCTCCCCTCATTAACTTAAACCATATTTTTTATTATGAGCTAAAAATTTCATTCTTATATTTGAACCAGATATCCTAATCATAGTCATAAATTCAACTGGGAAGTCAGACATACCTTTTTTTTTTTTTTTAAATCTGAAGAAAGATGCTGTGCTTTAATTGCATCTGATTAAGACATCACACCAAGGCACTTATTTCGGCTGGTAGTGATGTCTTAAAAAGTACTGTTTTAAAATGTTTAATTTGATTAGATATTTTCTGTAACATGAAAAAATGATCAGTTTGTGTCTTCTTCTAATGACCCATGGGGAGAAATTTTAATTTGAAGATTTCAGCAGAGGATAGAAATTAATCTTTTATGTATATCCCCTAATACCTTTTGGAGGCTTTAAAGATTATCTGTGCAAACTGAGAAATGTTTGCCATTTAAGTTTTAGCAACTTTATCTTTTGGAAAAAAAACAAAAAACACCATCACACTTTGGTTTATATGGTTTCCCATTCTAGAGGCACCAAGAATAATATATATGTAGTATAAAGGAGGAGGGAGAAAAACAGTCATAAGAACCTTAACAATTAAAGTTCCAATGGAGAAGAATTTTGATGCTCTGGTTCAGCCTAGACTGCAACCAGAGTAGGTTATTGTAAATATCAAATGTAAATATCATTAAAGGGGATGTTTTCACCCATAAAGTAGACCTAGCAGGCAGTTCAATGGAATTTTAATGTACATTTATGTATACTCACATCAAATTAAACTCTGTATGTTTTACATTAGAATGGGCCTGTCCTCACTTTCAGGAACTTTTGATTTTTTTCTTAAGTTCTGTTTTTGATACATTGAACACATAAAAACATAACACCCCCCCCAACTCTTGTTTCAGGCAACAAGGGCAGCCATTACGCAGCACTGCACTGACCTTGGGAATCTGTTGGGCAAGGAGAATGACGTGGCCCTCATCATCGATGGCCACACCCTGAAATATGCACTCTCCTTTGAAGTCAGGAGAAGCTTCCTGGATTTGGCGCTCTCCTGTAAAGCGGTCATATGCTGCAGGTAGGCATGCGCAGGCCGTGCGTGGTTCACATTCCAACGTGGCTATCTCCTGTGCTTTTATTAAAAAAGACTATGAATAGAAATTATAGGGGTAAAGTTTCATTTAAAAAACAAGCAAAACAAAAATACTAGTTTAACTGTCCATTCACAGATTTGGGGGGAAACAGTTAGTGGTTTTTACAATTTTGTTTATTGTCTTCTGAGAAGATAAAAGAAGAGCCAGAGCCTCTCTCCTGGGAGATTGACTGGAATAAGTTAGAAGAGCCCTATGTACGTGGGTCCTTGGTTCTGGATATCTGAGCTCAACTTCCAAGACCTGTGGGATATATAGTGGATATTTCTATTCAGTCAGTAAGGAGCTTTGGTTGGGTCCATGCCATACCAATTTTTGTGTTAGGATCTAACCAGATAACTTGGTTCGTTTTTTTTTTTTTTTTTTTTATTCCAGCTACTTAACATACAATGTTATATTAGTTTCAGGTGAAGGACTCTGTTGTTTTTTCATGAAATCTGGCAAGGTTTTTGAGGGTGGGCTTTGCTACATTCCACTGACCACTGGCCATGTGAGGTCCAGGTCTGATAGAGATTTGAGAGTCAGAATGATAAAGAAAATAAGCTGCTAGAAAGATGAGCAGCACCACCATGATTGTGCAGTGAACGACTTGAAAGGTGAGAGGAGAGCTTCCCTCTTCTGAAAACACTGTGCGTGGGCAGTACCTGGTACACAGTTAAAGGCATAATCCATATCATTGGATTAATAATCTCATTTACGCTTGCTCTTATATTTTATGGTTACATAGTTTTGTACATTGTTTTCTTGGGTATTTTGTCAGAAGTCAGTTATCAGGATGCTTTTAAATTCCTCACTGCAATACTCCTTTAAGAACGCCAGTTGGGGATTCGATCATGGTTGTCACATTGACAAGATGGTCTTGCTCTTTCTGCCTTACTGAAAGCCCCTAGTGAGATCATCTGCCAGTCCTCTCCACCCAGACCTCTCATGTTTGGGATGGCCAGTAAGTCTGGGAGAAAGCTATCAGGAAGATCTCTCCCTTGTCTCCCCAACCTTGCTCCCCACTCCCAGTGGTTCTTATCTGAGACCAAAGAGTTTGTTGCCAGTCCCCCATGAATATACCTCCCTGCTCAGAACCCTGAACTGTCTTCACATGATGATAGTTCTCTCTCATTTTATCCTGCTGTCTTGATCCCTTTCTGTAATTTGGAACATGTCATCAAAGGCCAAGGAGAACTGGGGTGGCGGCTGGTGGAGGCTCCATGGTAGAAGAGAATGTAGCTGTTGTGCTGTGGTTGTAGGATGTTCAAGGACCCCGGGATGGTGGGGGAGGAAAAGTTCAAATGTGTCTGAAACAATGAATGAGAACTTGGTGTTACCTCTAAGTCAGGAAACTTGGTGCAGCTGAAAGGGACCTGAGATAGTGAGGAATGACCAGAGCATTTGGAAATGAACGGCCATGCTTCTTGGTTTTATGATGATCTCCCGTCCTTTCTTTTTTTTTTTCAACAACTTTATTGAGATATAATTCACATATCATACAATTCACCCATTTAGAGTGTATAGTTCAATGGCTTTTAGTGTATTCAGAGAGTTTTGTAACCATCACCACAACCAATTTTAGAATATTTTAATCACCCCCAAAAGAAACCCTCTTATCTATTATTAATCAGTCCCCATCCTCCTTCACCCTCCCCTAACCTCCCTCAGTACTAAACAGCCACGAATCTGCTTTCTTATCTGTACAGATTTACCCATTAGGGACATTTCATATGAATGCAGTTATATAGATGTGGTCTTTTTCTGATCTCTTTCACTCAGCATAATGTTTACAACGTTCATCCATGTTGTAGAATATATCAGTACCTCATTCCTTTTCCCAGCTGAGTAATATTCCAATGGTATGGATATACCATTGTTACTCATCCATCTTGGTTAGCATTTGGATTGTTTATAGTTTTTGACCATTATGAGTAATGCCGCTGTGAGGATTCACATACAAATTTTTGTATGGACATCTGTTTTCATTTCTTTTGGGTATATACCAAGGAGTAGAAATGCTGGGTCAGCTGGTAAGTCTATGTTTAATGTCTTGAAGAACTGTCAGACTGGTTTCCAAAGTGGCTACACCCTTTTATATTCCCACCAGCAGTTTGTAAGTGTTCTAGCTTGTCCACATCTATCCATTGATTATTATCTGTCTTTTTCATTGTTTAGCCTAGTAGTTGTAAAGTGGTATCTCATAGTTTTGATTGCATTTCCCTGATGGTTAATGATGTTGAGCATCCTTTCATGTCCTTATTGGCCTTTTATATATATTTGTTTTTTAAAAAAGATTTTATTTATTTACTTGAGAAAGAGTGAGAGAGAGAGAGAGAGTGCGAGAGCGCACAGAGGGAGAGGGAGAGGCAGACTCCCCACTGAGCAAGGAGCCCGACTCAGGGCTCGATCCCAGAACCCTCAGATCATGACCTGAGCTGAAGGCAGATGCTTAACTGACTGAGCCACCCGGGTGCCCCTATTTGTATAGATTCTTTGGAGAAATGTCTGTTCAAGTCCATTTTTAAATTGGATTGTTTGTGTTTTTATTATTGAATTGTAAGTGTTCTTTATGTATGCTAGATACAAGTATCTTATTAGAAATATGGTTTACATGGGACGCCTGGGTGGCTCATTTGTTGGGCGTCTGCCTTCGGCTCAGTTCATGATCCCAGAGTCCTGGGATCGAGCCCCGCATCGGGCTCCCTGCTCCTCGGGAAGCCTGCTTCTCCCTCTGCCACTCCCCCTGCTTGTGTTCCCTCTCTCGCTGTGTCTCTCTCTGCCAAATAAATAAAATCTTTAAAAAAAATATGGTTTACAAATATTTTCTCCCATTCTGTTGGCTGTCTTTTCATCTTCTTGGAAGTATTGTTGACAGCACAAAAGATTTTAATTTTGATCAAGTCCAATGTGTCTGTTTATTCTTTCATCCTGTGCTTTGGTGTCCTATCCAGGGGCTCCCTTTTTTAAGTAGCTGATACTATGCTTTCTTTCCTGGGCTCCATTTGGGTAGTTTAGCTCAGAGACATGCAAATGGCAATAAGGGGAGGAGTTGTGGTGAAATGCTCTTTTCTCGTAATTTCCTCTTTGTGTCTGTGTTATAACGCTGCTGAGTAGGTCCCTGATTTCTGTGAGGTCCTCGGCACTCGAGGTTGTGGGCCAGGGCCAGGGCCAGAAGTCAAGGTAAAGGAGTCCCTCTCCCTGCCAACTGTGAGTTGGTCAAGAGGCCATCAGCCTGACTTGTTGGTGAACAGAAACAAGCAACAAGAAACAACATGGAAAAGTCTGGTAAACTGTAAATCAAAGCAAACGTGCTCTCACTTCATGGTTTTTCAAAGGGAAATCCAAACGAGTCCGTCTGGATTCTCCGGGGAGAGCAGGAATGCCTTCAAGGCTTTACAGGAACACGTTCTTTGCTTGCCAGGTGCTTGATACTAAAGAAAAACATCTTTTTCCCCTTCTTTCTTTGGCTGCTTTCAGAGAGCTTTGTGTGTCACATAAAGCTGTACACTCAAAGGCTTCCCAGGAAGGAGTGCAAACTGGAATTGGCCCAGAAAGAGGAAATTTCAAATTAAATATGTTACTGTCTACAGAATAGAAGCACTAATTGAAAAAAGGAATCTAGGATAGTGTACTACTTTACCGCTCCAGGAGATTTCTTGGCTGGTCTCACACTCAAGATTTAAAAAAAAAAAAATCAACACATACCTTTTTTTCTTTTTTTAATAAAAGCACTCACGTACTTCAGTTGTTGCTTACTACTCATTGAGAATTTAAACCTAAGTTACATTTAATGTGACTTCAAACATAAGGTTGACCTTAATTCTCACTTTTCATCTTTAAAATGCAATCATTATAAAGTTTACCCTTTTCTCTAATAATAGAAGAAAATAATTTCTTTTGGAAAATAACTTAAGTGAAATCATGAAGCTCTGTGGGCCATCAATATTGATTCAGAGACTGGTGAATGTTTTATAAAAACTGAAATACTTTTAAGCTAAAACAATGTTTTAGGCAGAAAATGGAAATAATGTAAGAATTTGTTAAATATTTTGCTGATGTTAGACTCAAACAATTTAGCTAATTATATATTATTATACCCAAATATTTTCCATGTAGTTAAAATCCTAGAAAGGTCATAAAAAGGTCAGCAAAACAGGTACAGGTCTGTACTCTACTTGGCTTACTGCTGTAGCTGCTAGGGACAGTGCCACATTATTTGTTGAGGTATAAACTGATTGACCTAATAACATTTTTGTGGTAGGCTTGATATCTGTCCTGTATGTTCCTGGGTGTCATGGAATAGTGAATAAGAGCGTATTACAGTACTCCCCTCTTTTCTACTTTGCATCTCATGTGGGCCTCAACTCCTTGAAAGCAGGGCTTCAGGGAAGCTAGCACATCCCCAGACTCCAGTGACCTCCATCTTGCCGTATGTGATAGACTCTCAATTTCTTTCTTGATTCCTCCTCAGCAGCTGATGTCAGTGGCTCCCCCCACTGGATTCTCATCTATTTCTGTGACACTTCTTTTTCCTCCTACATATGTATCTTCTTTATGGGATCTTTTCAACAACCTTTGAAATATATTTCCAAGGTTTTGCCTTTGGCCTTATCATATTCCCACCCATATCTTCTTCCTGGTGCCTTCCATTTATCTTCATGGCTTCATTCACCTTCTGCATTAGTGATTCTCAACTCTAGGTTTACACTGAATCATCTAGAGAACTTAAACAACTTGTTTTCTTCAAATATTTAAATATGGGATTGTCATATGACCCAGCAATCCCACTGCTAGGTGTATAACCCACAGAATTAAAAACGGGTAATCAGACAAATACTTGCATGTTCATGTTCATAGCAGCACTATTCACAACAGCAAAAAGGCAGAAACAACCCAGGTGTCCATTAATGGATGAATGGATGAATAAAGTGTGGTATATCCATAC